TGCAAGATACATGTAGAGAACCATAGCTTATTTCTCAAATAGCCAAGTCCCTTTGAGACCCTTTTTCCCAGAGCCATTTCCTGAAGTGGGCTGAATACAAAGGACACAGTCATTTGGGGGATCTGAATCTGGCTAAGGCTCCTGACTTTTTCAGCCTTAAATATACAGAGCCATCAGAGCTGGCTCAGTCCTGCAGCCCAAGGCTGTCATTTCTCAGAGCCTGGACTTAGCCTGCCTCTGGTGTAGGACAGGTCATTTTCTTTACCTCAGATCCTTCCTGGCATAAATGAAAGTCCTAGCTATGAGTGCAGGAATTGAGATTATCCTGCTTCTCTCAGGTCTCAGTGGGCAGCTTTGACTAGGGTTTGGTGACACTGCTTGGGCTCAGGAAGATGTCTCAAGGCCAGCAGCCTGGATCTTAGGAGGTGCTTGTCTTTGTCAGGAAAACAGACTGGTCGCTTGATTGACTGAGGGATGAAAAGGCAGGGGCTCTGAGTTCTCCATAGGGGTTGGGTTTTTAGCCTAGTGTTTCTGGGGAGGAGGGCCCATCTATCCCTACCAGCTGTAGGAAACACTACTTCCCTGTAGGACTTGGACCCCCACAGGTCAAATGTTCTGTACTCCCTCAATCCCCAGGCAATCTGGTCTGAACCAGCCAGATTCCAGAAGCCCACACACTTCCCTTTCTTGCTTATAGCTCTGTCCCCAGTGCCAGTTTTGCGTATCCATTGAGGTAAGAGGGGACAAGAGACCACGTGAGCAGCTCCAGGCTCTGAACATGATGTTTGTTTCTGAGACTGATGGTCAGTGGAGCGGCTCCCCCAGGGGCAGGGAACATTTTGCCAGGCTTGGATTAACTTCTGTGTTGTTTTGCCCCACCCCAGCACCATATTAACTTATGGAAGACATCCTGGAGTCAGGGAGGGGGAGGGGTGAAGGGAAGACAGGATGGATGGAGGATTCTGGGCACCAATTGAGAAATGGAGCTGGGTAAGGCAGTGCCAAGGGTGGTAGCCAGGTCACAGACCACAGCGTGTCCTCACAGGATGGAGATAGTAAGACCTCACTGGTTCTAATCGTAAATCGCAGACCCACTGCCCTGCCCTTCTCAGTGGATAGGACTGGTCCTGGCCATGAACTCTCCCTTAATGTCTCTTCTGAGTGACCTTCTTGTACTGCCTGCACAGAATGAAGCCCTCAGGAAGTTTAACCTCCTCAGGGTGGCTGAGTGAATGAGACTGGGGTGGACTGGGTGAGGACCAGCCCCAGGGTCTCAGGCCGCCAAGCTGGACAAACAAGACAGCAGAGATGCAGTCCAGTGCGACTGAGTCAACAGAGAAGGCAGGGGACAGGAGAGGAAGGTCAACTTCTTGCCCTGGAGTTCTTGGGTAGCCACTGCCATCCTCTGCTTGTTCCCTCTGGAGAACAGCCTCTCACTGCAGGGTACCATTCAAGTCCAGAGTCCCACCAGAAAGGAAGAGCACATGACCTTGGCTTATATAATTTCCCTCTCACTGAACAGCTGGAACCCAAGGCTTCAGAAGATGAGTCAGCAGCCCCAGTGTCAAATAGGACCCAAAGACTCCTAGATTCCATTGCTCCTAGAAACAGGTCCCTGTGTAGACAGGAAGGGTGAGACACTGTGCTGGAGAGCAGCCTGGGCTAGACCTGGGGCCTCAGTCCTTGGCTCTGTGTGGAGGGGCAGGTGCCTTGCCTGCTGCCTGCTGTGTTCTGAAGGGCCCTGGGCCACCCCCTGGCTCTTCTTGAGGAGAGGAGGCGAGGCCTGGGCGGGGCATGTGCAAGGGCTGAGGCCAGCAGGCAGGGTGCCAGAGCTGGCTAGGGAGCAGCTGGAGGGGTGGATCAGAGGAGGATTAGAAAGGATTGTAGGGGTTAAAGCACAGGCCTGGCAGTGCTCAGTGGGAACAGCTTGTCCTTCCATAGGCCCTGGGAACAGAAGAGGTGGGGCGGAGGGGGTTGGCACTCTGGCTCCAGGCTCTCTGCAGGGCTGAGCCACCTGGGCTCTGGCTTGCAATCCCCACTGGGGTAGTGAAAGCTTATTCCCCACCTCTGAGGCTCCTGGCTCATCATTCTGTATTTTCACTGGAGTGGAGCCCTCAGGGGAGACCCTCATGGTCCTACAGCTGAGAACCCTCACCTGCTGGTATGTTGTGGGTGCCTACACAGCCTGTGCTTAGAGCTTCTGAATCCACATTCTTCCCCACCAGCTCTTTGCTTGTGCTCAGTGGAGTCTGTGAAGTTCTGAGTTCTGGTTGGCTGTTACTGTTTTATTGGATTGAGACTCCTCTATTCCCACTGTTTGCTTTTGAGCCTCGTGGCATCCCTGTGAGGTGGGCAGGGCAGGTGTGACCATTCACTTTTATAGATGAGGAAATACAGCAGAGCTGTATCCAAGGTATCCAAGGTTAAAGAGGCAAACTGTGCCTTTCAGATGTCATGGGCAACCTGCCCCAGCCTCAGATGACCTCTTTCTTTCCTACCATCGATGACACTTAGAAACACCCAGGCTTGTCTCCCATTGTAATTCTGTAAGAATGGATTTCCCTAAGGGAATTGTGAATGTACCAAGGGACCAGCCTGCTCATTTATTGCTTCCTAAAGCATCAGATGCAAGGAAAACTAACCTTTACTGAGCACCTACTATGTGACAGCCTCTTTCACAGTAATTTATGAAGTGGGAACTATGGCGCTTCCATGAACAGGTTTATGTTAAGGGAGCTGCCTGAGAAAGCTAGTTGCTTAGTACTCAGTTCTAGGTACACAGTACAGTGCTAGAAAGTGAATAAGAAGACCCTTACATGAAGTTTTGTAAAGAAACTGTGTTTGGGGCTGAAGAGATGGCTCAGCTGTTAAGAACACTGGCTGCTCTTGCAGAGGACCTGGATTCAGTTCCCAGCACTCACATAGTAGCTAACAACCATCTATAACTCCAGTTCCAGGGGAACTAGATGCCTTCTTCTGGCCTCCGCAGGCATTGCACACACACAGTACATGTACATGCAGGCAAAACATTTATACACATAAAAATAAATTTAAAAAGAGAAATTGCTTGGTTTTAGAAAGAAGTGCTTCTTGGCATGCTTAAGAGATCACTGGAAAAACTTAGGCAGATTTCAAGGCACTGTCCTCAGAGTTTGCTTCAGCTAGTCTGGGTGAACTGTTAAGCCTACAGGTGATTCTCACATGGAGAAGCACTGCTTTGTGGAAGAGAAGCTCCCTCCACTGAGGTGTGTTTTGATTGCTCCCCCATGAACAACACTGGATGTTCCAGGTGGATTCTATTCCATCCCAGGTATGGCATCTATTTCTCTCCCAGGCCAGCTCTGTCATAATACATTCTACACTGTTCTACACATACTTTCCAGTCAACTCTGATGGTCAGGGTATGAATGTCCTGGGAGACAGTTTTTGTATCTTCCATGGCACTTCCCAGATAGCCCAGCAAGGCTAAGGCACTCTAAGTAATGTTATCAAAGTTGTCTCTACAAGATCTTTAGTTACAACACACTTAGTCTATGACCCAACTATGGCTCCTGGTTCTGAACGCTTCCTCCATTAATCTGAACAAGCTCTCTAAAGTATCTTTTCTTGCTGTGGCATAATGCTTGTTTGAAAAGAGCACATGTTCTACAAGGAGGGGTATATAAGATAGAGAACAAGCCGGGCGTGGTGGTGCACGCCTTTAATCCCAGCACTCCGGAGGCAGAGGCAGGTGGATCTCTGTGACTCCAGAGGCAGAGGCAGGTGGATCTCTGTGAGTTTGAGGCCAATCTGGTCTACATAGTGAGTTCCAGGACAGCTGGGGCTACAGGGAGACCCTGTCTCAAAAA